GAGAAGATTGTAAAAATCAGGCACCTTTCTATCATAATATCAAGCAACTCCCGCAGACAGTAAATGAAGCATGGATTGCATGGACTTATATTTCTTCACATATTCATACCAAATCTGAATCAGAGGCTGCTGTGGTATTTGGGGATGAACGACGAATTTTGGTGTCGAACAAACGGATTGATCGACCTATCCAATTCTCCAGAGCTCGAGTTTTCTGCTCTCCAACGCCGGGCTGCCAAGATTCTTCGATAACCCACTCTCTCTATGTACATGTTCAACTACCAGATAGTTACTTTCTAAGATTTACATGTATAATACTTGTTCACCTTTGGTAGTTATGCGGTCTAGAGTGGTTATATCGTACTTGGGACATCGAGTGATCTCGGCCTAGCATTACCTTATCCATAGCAATGTCTCGAAGCCCGACGTGTCACAGGCGGATAGACTCTTCTGCCATTTCCGATCCTATGACAGCAATGATGGTGCCTCGCCACGGCTTAGCTCTTGCGGTTCAATTGAACCGTTCAATCGAAAAACAATATGCCCAAAACTGAAGCAACACAGCGAGTAATGAAGTCATAGCCATGATAATCCCAGAGAACCCCAGCCTACTGCTGCACAACATGTGTTTGATCAGAATGGAAAGTATCATGTGAATCATGTCTTGACAAAGATACGTTACTGTACGATTGCGCTTTCTGACGACATAGCTGAGAAAAACATGCCTGCATTTGCGACAGAATCCGGGTGAAATTCTCGCGTTCTACATCTCATCAATTCAAATGGAGAAGTTCAGGACGGTGCTTTCCGACATTCTGCAGGAAAGACATAGTAGAGCGCATCTACAATCTCGCCCGCCCATAATCCGCGACCGTACGACCAGCGCATCCCCAATGACTGTCCAAATATAGTACTGTCAATAAGTTGACAAAATGTTCCGCACTCTCATCGTCGCGGCTCTGGTGATCGCTGCATTCAGCAGCATCCTGGACTCCATTACTGTGGAGCCTCCAGTACATGAGCCTGAACTTGCGAACGGGTAAGCTGGATTCGACTTCAACATTTTCTTCTGAATGTATAAGCACTTCTTCTCAGGTCAAAACCGTTCAAGAAGGGCTCACCCGAGTGGGTGAAGTGGTTAGATCAGTTGGCCGATATCCTCGCCCTGACCACCACCTCTCCTCCACCCGAGACCACTCCTACTCCCCGCAAGTTCACCTTCCCATCGGTAGAGCCCCCCCATACCTCACCGGCGCCTCCGCCGACTGAGGTTCCGGGGCTCAGAGCGGGAGGAAGCTCCGACGGGTAGGATCAACAACATCTACTTCATCATTTGGCCATGTCGAATATAAACTATATTATATTATACAATAATTCTTCTTTCAGGTTCCGTAGGTGGACCGTCGGCGGCAGGAGCCTCATTATAATGTTGGTTTTCTTGATACTTGCATGATGACCATCCTATTTTTTTGCACGTGAATGAACACTGCTTTCGGTTGAGTTTCGCGAGTGGGGGAATCCTGAGTTGTAACCTGTTAACCGCAGAAACAGGCGAATAAAGACGGACGTGTGTGACACCTACCAATACTGAACAGTCCACCCAAAGTCCCAGAGAGGACGCTCGAGGCCGCAGGAGGGACGTCCTGAAGGAATATGTCTAACAAGCGACATCATCATGAGCCGGTCAGTGCCCGGCTGTCACTAGTCACCTGCATGTTAACCTTAGTAAGGGTAGTAGCTGTGGTTGAGTAGGCCCCATTAAAGGCACTGTAGCCTGGGAGCCTCCCAGTGGGATGCAGCTCACAGCAGTTCTCATCGAGGCGGAATTCGGTACTGTTGGTGGAATTAAGCACGTACGCTGCTATCGAAGGACACGAGTGAGCTCAGAGAAGATCAAATGCTGGTTTGGTCCTTTGCAGTGCAAATGTTAACCAGCACATGTTCATAAGTTATGAACATATGCTGGTTAATATGCGTCGCATTTGGTAACAATGTGTTCTAGGGTGCTTATATCGCATTTGAGACACACAGTGATCTCGGCCTGGTATTACCTCATCCTCACCAATCTCTCGAGGCCCGACGTATCACAAGCGCATAGATTCTTCTGACATTTCCAATCCTATGACAACACCGAAGGTGCCTCGCCACGGCGTAGCTCTCGCGGTTCGATCGGAAAATAACATGCACTAAACTGGAGCAACACAGTGAGTAATGAAGTCATGGCCATGATAATCCCAGAGAACCCCAGCCTACTGCTGCACAACATGTGTTTAATCAGAATGGAAAGTACCATGTGAAACATGTCTTGACAAAGAAACGTTACTGCATGACTGCCCTTTCTGACGAGATAGCTCAGAAAAATATACTTGCAACCTCACAACTCCTGAGGCTGCGTTGTTTAGATATTAACTTCCGAGTCAGATGCTCCATGAAGGAGCCTCCTTCAAAAGTACCAAGCTGAATGAGCCGTAAATGTGGACAATGGGTCAATACCAAAGAATCAGCAGCACCAGCCCGGTACATTCGATGAGGCAAACACTCCTCTTAGCTAGTGCGGTGATTAAATCACTGTCGGAAGTTTTCCGACAGTTTGCAGGAAAGGCGTGGTAGGGCGCATCTACAACCTCGCTCGCCCACAATCCGCGACCGCACGACCAGCGCATCCCCAATCACTGCCAAAGTATAGTACTTTCAACAGGTTGCGAACATGTTCCGCATTCTCATTGCCACGGCTCTTCTGGCTACCGCTGCATTCAGCAGCATCCTGGACTCCATTACTTTGGAGCCCCCAGTAACTTGGCCTGGACTTGCCAACGGGTAAGCTGGATTCTTCCTCAGTATCTTCCTGACTGCCATTTCTTTTCAGGACAAAGCCGGCGGAGTTGGCCGATGGCCTTACCGCTACCTTACCTCCACCCGAGCTCACCCCTACCCTCCGCAAGTTCACCTTCCCTTCAATAGAGCCACCCCAGCCCACCCCTACCCTCCGCAAGTTCACCTTCCCCTCAATAGAGCCCCCTCATACCTCACAGGCACCTACGCCAACTGGGGGTCCGGGGCTCCGAGCGGGAGGATGCTCCGACGGGTAGGAACAACAGCACTCGCTCCACCATTCGATCACATCGAATATGACAATTCTCCTTCCAGGTTCCGTACATCGACCGTCGGCGGCGCTGGACTCCTTATAATATTTGTATTATTTGCATGATTTTTTGCATTGAATGACCAGTATTTTGGGTTGAGTTTTACGAGTGGGGAAATCCCTGGGCTGTAAGCTATAACGAAAACATTTGAAACTATGCTGTATACGATCTTATTAGAAGGTACACTCCACTCGGTTGACAGAAGCCCGATAATTCTCTCTGTCATGTTCTTTGCCCGGAGCACGACACTATATGAGAGGGGTATGAGGACAATGTGAAGCTTTAAGTATGAATCGAGGAACTTCGCACGTACGAATCATAGGCCTGATGAATATGTAGCTAGCGAGTACATCTGTCATCCCTCTCCGTCATGAATGTCGAACAAAGCAGCCCCATAAGCTCCTCCGAAACATCAAGAGCAGAAGAAGCCGCAAATGCGCATTCCAGATTCTCCCTCGAACATACAATGCTCTATTCTTGGCAAGAGTGCACGACAAAGTTTGTCGGACAAACATCCTAGGGCTTAACTACATTCTCGCTCACCTTAAAATCTGCGACCACGCGATCGACACACCCCCTATCAATGTCCAAGTAGGACCACCACCTCTCCTCCACGGTGGAGGCTCCACCCGAGCCCACCCCTTCCCCACGCAAGTTCACCTTCCCTTCAATAGAGCCCCCACATACCTCCCAGGCGCCTACGCTTACTGAGAATTTGGGGGGTCAGAACGGGAGGCAGCTCCGACGGGTAAGACCAACAGAACCTACTCCATCATTTGATCACATCTAATATAATGTTTCTCCTTCCAGGTTCCGTACATCGACCGTCGGCGGCACTAGCCTCCTTATAATGTTCGTCTTAGTGATATTTGCATGACGAAACATCACGAGCAGAATAAGCTGCAAATCCGCGTTCCAGATTCTCCCTCAAACATACAATGCTCTATTCTTGGCAAGAGTGCACAACAAACATCCTAGGGCTCAACTGCATTCTCGCTCACCTTAAAATCCGCGACCACGCGATCGACACACCCCCTATCAATGTCCAGGTACAGTACATTCGACGTAAGTCCATGAAATGTTCCGCAATCTGATGGCCGTGGCTTTCCTAACGGTCGCTGCATACAGCGGCTTCCTGGACTCCATCACGTTGGAGCCTCCAGGAACTTGGCCTGAACTGGCCAACGGGTAAGCCGGACTTTCCTTTGATTGTTTTAGTGGCTGTATGAGCACTTCACCTCAGGACACAGCCCTATAAGAAAGGCTCACCCGAGTGGGTGAAGTGGCTGGATCAGTTGGCCGATGTCCTCGCCCTGACCACCACCTCTCCTCCACGGTGGAGGCTCCACCCGAGCCCACCCCTTCCCCACGCAAGTTCACCTTCCCTTCAATAGAGCCTCCACATACCTCCCAGGCGCCTACGCTTACTGAGGATTCGGGGGGTCAGAACGGGAGGCAGCTCCGACGGGTAAGACCAACAGGACTTACTCCATCATTTGATCACATCGAGTATAATATTTCTCCTTCCAGGTTTTGTACATCGATGGTCGGCGGCACTAGCCTCCTTATAACGTTCGTCTTAGTGATATTTGCATGACGACCATACGATTATTTGCATGTGAATAAACAATGTCTTCGGTTGGGTTTCGTGCTGTGGAAGTGCTGGCTTGCAACCTGTTGGAAAAAACAAGATAGCACACCTAATACTATGCCGTGTACAAGAGCCCCTCCAGCGCCCTCCAGAGACCCTGGAGCCTCTAGCTTCCAAGCACATAGCTCCGTGGTGCTTAAATATCAAAACAAGCCTACTGAACAAAGTGCATCAACCCTCCCTTTAACTTAATACTAATAATAATATAATATACGCACCCTAATCACGTCAATACACCTCCATTGCAGACCACCTCAAGACGACAGAACACTGCAGCGGACTTCCCCAAGGACCTCTAGAAGTAGTTGACTCATTCTATTCAATCGCAACTTAGCCAGACAAGGGAGGAGCCTTGCCGACAACAACAGCTCATCCTCTCTCTGCCGCATCCCACGTGCAACATCCCCCTTACGAAATTGAATACCCAAGTCGAAGATGAAACAGGAAAAACTTTTAACTCTTTAGATAAACACATCGTGAATAAAAGTCCTTATGTTTTGACAACACTTTAGATATATGGACATCCAACAACAGAGCCTATCCGCTCAATCGGAAATCTCGAAGACACCGCCAATCTCAACAGCTACGCCCATGGGTAGCGAAGCGCACCCAACTGCGAAACGGCTGAGGGAAAGCATCATACTATAAAACACCTTCGATGAGAAAGTAAGATTCAAAGTTTTAATTTGAAATTATTAAAAGTTTAAAGTTCGAGATTCGTTCTAATTTAAAACGTATATCGAATGGTATGCGAAAGTCTAACACTCACCTATGACGGCCAACACCCTCACCAAATACGTCAACCAGCAAGTCGCTGCAGCCATTGGTGACCTGATCGAAGACCGCTAGCCACATACAAAAACGGAGAAACCACGTACCTTGGGTTGATCGACAAAGTCAGGTGTTGAGTTGATAAATGCCTCAACCTTAACAACAGATTTAACCTTAGACAGGTCGCCTCCGCATGCCTCTTTGACCTACAAAGAAAATCAACCTGTCGCAATCCCCTATAACAAGATCTACCTGGGCTATCATATTAAGACCACAAGCCTTAGCAGCGGCCTGACCCTGCTCAACAGTAAAGTTGTCTCCAAGTCTGCCCTGATGGAAAAACGCTGTTCCGTCCTGCTTGTCTTCTTTAGGGAGCTGACCGCTCACGAACCTACCAGCCAGACAGCTGGGTTACCGGGAATCGAGAGCATTCCTTACACTAGGTTACCGGACCTGCTATAAGGCACATAGTTCGCCAAAGGAGCAGCACCAGAAGGGAGGGTGAGACCGAGAGAGGCTATACGAGATTCAACAGGTGACGACATTGGCAAAAACGAAAAAATCAACTACCACTTAATGTCAGACTAAATGCACTCAAAAACCTAAGAGATCCAATCTCAAAACCTTGTTCGCTAGCTGCCAAGCGGTGTAGCAGCTTGAAGCTAGTCCCAGTTGGCTAGTTTCCAACACAACCAAACGTTCGACCAAAAGAGTCGGAGGATCTCCGCTGGGGACACGCTTGAGTACTCCTTAGGAAACACGTCATGATGAGGGAGAACGTGGTAGTTGACTAGTGGTTTCGCACTTAACGGTAGCAATAACATACGTAAAACCTACCATCATCAACTACTCACCGGGGACAGGCGTTGTGCAATGCAACCTGTCCCTCTCGCACTCCTGCTTCACTCGCTCGATTGAAAGCCCGATTGATGATTGCCCAAATGTCACTTGGCAAGTGAGCATATAAACTAAAGACGCATACATAGATATCAAGAAACCAGTTCACACAGAAAACGTTCAAGAGTCACACCGGGCACCGTCGTTTACCACGCGAAGTCCATGTAATTTTCTCGGCCCTCCTGCTTTTATCTAAAGGTCCTTCCATGATGGAAATTCCATCCACGACATGATCGTGCGCCAAGAGATCTCCGCGTTCCTACACCTTTTCCGCGGCATCTAGCTGATACTCTCAGCATATCACCATTTCAAGGTATCGACTAACTTGCTGCATTTGAAACGCCACAAGCTCAGTGTCCTTATTCCCTCAAATTCCTGCGACCCACTTTTTGGAACTGTGTCCAAGCGAACCCGAATCAAATGCTCTTAGACATCAAGTATATCCAGCTGTTAATGAAGACTCATCACTAGCATGTTCGGCTGGCTTTCTCTTAGTCGGTCGTCAACACCAGAATCAAAATTCGCCGAAGACGCCAGCCGCCCAGTTTTTCTCTCGTGGACTCTGAAAATCAGTGATCATAGAGTCTTCATCACAGTCCTCAGATCATGCATGATAAAGACATTCCAACACGTCAACTTGGAAGCACATTGCCACAGCCGCTGTGGCACAGCGTGAGTTACTCGGAAGTCGAATACTGCGTTAACCTCAAGCGTTGTCATCCCACACAATCAGCACCATTGAAACGACGTAGACAAACACAGTATCTCTCATCCACTATGCATGGCGCTGGAGTTCGACTGTAAGCCGTTCAACTCAATTGATGATGCACCTACAAACCAGAATACGATCTCCGTTACCTATTCGCTGAAACAGCGAGTGCACAGCCTCATCCTTCATCCTGCACGAGGAATCCCTCAAGTATGGATCCAGCATTTTATCAATGACGCTACTCCGCGGAGGGAACCCCATCTCCACCATCTGATTCGAAAGTTCCGTTATCCTGCGCCATTGCGGGCCCCACGTCGGTAGACCCCACGCCTTACCGACAATAGATCTTGCGATCAGCAAACGACCCCCTTCCCCATCCTTAGCCTCGAAGCTTCGCTAATACGTTTTGAGCTGGGCAGACTTCCTGTTCAGCCCCTCGAGAAAGATGTATGCACCCCGCATCATCCTAAATCTTTCAAGTGATGTGATAGGATACATCGTATGCAATACAAAAACACCATAGTATAGTTACTATACGTACAGGAAAATATTTCTACATCCTGCGCCGTGCACAAACACATCTCAGATACCGAAAGATTCTCTTTGCCATGGTTGTCACGCCTTCCAGGTATCCGAAATAGGGAATCACTACATTATCTTTCACATCTACCACAGTGTATTCAATACACTACCCTGGTATCGCATGGTTTCCGTCTGAGCCAGTTTGTGGCAGACTTGAGCACAACACATGTTTCATACAGACTGAAAACCCCACACCATGTGGTCCATGCCTTTTTACTATCACTTGCCAGAGGCTACTAGTCATACATAGAATGAATAAGAGTACAAATCACATTGTAATAATTTCAACTCTCACCAATACATGCAGCTGAGGATTAGGCCAAGTTAGCATCGTGGAAAACTCTCGCAGGATCTCGTCACTGATCAGTTGAACAAATCATCATTTGCTGTGTAGACTTGGCCGTAACCTAGTCACGGCGGCTTCTTCGAAATCACTGACGCAATGACCCTCGTAAGTGACCCTATCCGAGCCGAAACCGAGATTTTCATAGCCAGCTAGCGACTTATGCAGCACAGGAGGTTATTCCGCCATGTCTTAGCAAAGACAAGCCTCCACGGAATGTAGAGCATTCAAAGGATGCAGCAAAGACTAGATCAACGTGTCATAATAAACGGTGTAGAGCAACTTGCGATGC